ATGTAGCCTATAGCCTTAGGCCTTTCATGAACTGAGAGGTTCAACACAACCCACGTAACCCTGCACACGCTTGAACGCTGACATGTAGTCTTAGCCTTAGGTGTCTTAGATTTGGAGCAGCTATATGAACTTAGAGGTACAACAGACCCCACGTAGCTGAACACATCTGAACACACATCGCCCGCATCTTAACAACACCGGCTGACAGTGCAAACTCCCTGGGCTTGCCAACATTTTAGAGGTTCAACGAAATCACGTAACCCTGGACACACCTGAACACACCACACCTGAACACGCATCGGCACAGACAAAAGTGCAGAAAACTTGCCGTTAAAAACCTTTCAAAAATTGACCATTTTCTGATCCTTGAACATGAGGCACTGATGCACACGAAACTCGGCATTCGCTCTCAGTGGAATTTCTTGCTGATTGCTGACTCATAAACCCTGATCTTACCTAAGCCCTACGCCCAAATCCTCTAAAACCCCAAGCCCTCAAGTCCAAGTCCCGCAAACCCTAAACCCCATAAACTCCTCAAGACCAAAGCTTATTCTACGGGTCTTAATAATCAGAATAGGGCTTGGGGGCCCATTATACGATAATTCTAATAAGGAACCCCAAATAGAGTTGGTGACTGTTTAGGCTCCTATAATAAAGTCTAAGCCGAAGTCGTTCGCTGCAGGACCTTGCGCAGGATGAGCATGAGCTGGCGTGGCATAGGCGCATCCGGAGTCTGTGGTGGGGCACAAGGGATTTACTAATCAGAATAGGGTTTTGGGGCCATTACATTAAAACTATAATCAAGAACCCCACAATAGCATAGGTTTCGGGGGTCTTTGGGGATTTGAGGTTAAGGACAGAGCGGAGTTTTGAGGGTTTTGGTTCAGGGCTTTTCGGGGGTTTTAGGGCATGCGGGGTTTGAGAGGGTTTGGGGTTTTTGGGGTTCGCGCTTCGAAGCCATTGGGTTTTTCCCAAGCTCTAATCTCAAGATCCCACAGTCCAAGCTCTAAATCGAAGAACGCACCTCCGAGGAAGTAAGGGGAATCTGGCTTCGCAGGAGAGGGCCAGGGGCTACAGAAGTCGGGCTCTCTCCGTGTTTTCGGGCTTTTGAATCTGCAGCCCTTAACGGCTTCGATGACTTCCCCAACGTCGAAGCCCTGAGGTGGTGGGACGGTTTCTACTCCAACGAGCGCGGCATCTGGAGTGAGGAGCGGGAACCCAAAGAACCTCCTACGAAAGAGGTACGAATCTAGGGGTGCTATGGTTGATGATATAAATCCTGCAACACCTTAAGGATCCTAAACTATGGGAATTACGGTATATTCCTTATTATGGGTAATGCTGGATGTATATCATCAACAGTAGCTTAAGGGTCGATGAGGGAGTTGGAGTCTCAATAACTAGTAATGGCTTTTCACGGCGTTTCTCCTTGACTGTATCGTTATAGTAGAACAAGAACCCTATTCTAATCATTCAGGCCCCTATACTACGGACTGACAACACAACAACAAGGAGGCCTGAATCCTCGTTCCGAATCGCATCCCTGAGCTCTAAAAGCCCGACGGTGGCCTCCCTAGGAGACGCGTGAGAGGAAAGGAGTTCAAACACATATCGACGCCCAAACTCCCCAAAATACACAAGATAAAGCCTCAAAGTACACAAGCCTAAACTCGGAACGCATTTACGCTAGAAAACTTTGTCAACCTACTAACCCAAGATTCATCATGAGCCCTTAAACTGCAGGCTCTTGAACACTCAACCTCGACACGTCAGTGTTTTTGCAGGATGGGGCCCCTTCTAAGTCTCGCGAAAGGCCCCAAACCCCCTGTAAAGCCTTGAGAACCCCACAGCCGGGAGCCCAAAACCCCAACCCCCTGAACCCTAAACCCGAAAACATAAACCCTAACCCCTCAACAGCCCTTTTGGGAGGACAACGAAATGATGACCTTCGCCCGGGAGGGTGCGGTCGGGAACTGTAGCTTCCTTCTGTCCCAGGCGCGGCAAACTTCGGGGTTTAGGTTTAGGGATTTAGGGGTTAAGGCTTAGGGTTTAGGGTTCGTGCCAGTCTTTGTTTTGTGCAGGGGTGGTATCACTGATGGTGTTGCTAAATCGGAAGTCAGCGTCCCGGGTTCGGGGTGGGGGGGTTTGCGTTTCAGGGTTGGGTGTCCCGGAAGCTTCGAAGAGCCAACAACGAAGCCTTCAACCCCAAACCCCTGGAACTCTGCGCTCCCTCACCCCCCAAAGCCCTGAAACTCTGGACCCGAGCCGGAAGCCCAGAAGGCTTGATACAGAAGTGTGATTTAGGGTTTAGGGGTGTGTGGGTTTAGGGTTTAGGGATCGGGGTTTATGATAGTGTGAGTAGAATCTTAGAAACTCTAAACCCTAAACCGCCAGCCAGGAATGGATGGCTCGGACGTTTTGCCAGCACCGCCAGAATCGCCCGGGCTCCTTAATCTGTCCCGAGGCTCCGGCGGGAGCTGGAGGGTTTGGGGTTTAGCGGGCTAGTGTTTTTGCGGTTTAGGGGTTTCAGGTTTAGGATTCGGGGTTGTGGATGTGGGGGTTTCGGGTTTGGGGGTTTCGGATTGGGGATTTTGGAGATATGGGCTGAAGGCTTGAGGTTTCGGATGGGATAGTATTCCGGGGTTGGGGAACCTCTGGGCCTTATACCCTAGATGCAAGCCTTAATCCCAAACCCTTAGAAACCCTAAAACCTAAACCCTAAACCCTTATAAACCCTAAAACCTTAACCGCAAGCCAGGCTTGTGGATGTGCTGGATCCAGCACGGACCTTCTTTGGTGTCCGACTTCCTGCACAAACTCGAATCCCGTGATTTGGTTCGGTTTAGGGTTGAGGGGATTTAGGTTTAGGGTTTACGTAGGGTTCAGGGATTTTAGGGTTTAGGGTTCAGGAGTTTTAGGGTGGTCAAGGATCGTAGTGACCAAAGCAAGGACAGCACTTTTTTGCCGCATGTCCTTGTTCTGGTAACTTGGATTCAGTTCCTTAGTTCCTTGACAAGAACCCAAGGTGACCGGCGACCGGTGACTGGCGGGTTTGGACAGGGATTTAGTTCAGGGCGGGAGGCTGGCAAAGACAGAGATTTCAAATCGACGATCCTACGTAAACCCCGTAACTACACGCCTTACAGAACAGGTTGTAGAAGGAAGTCTTCAAAAGGATCTCTCAATAGCAAGCCAGCCTTCGTGAGTCCCTTACCGACTGGGTTCGAGCGTGACGTGGGTGACCTCGCACCCGTTTTGAAGTCAAGCGTGGAATTCTGTGAAGTCTTTAGCAGGCTCAGGGGCTCAGAGGGAGGCAAGCTGGGTATGGTACATGGGAGCTGGTACTTCGCTTCCACTAATCACTGTTAGGGTTTAGAGAAAGCCAGAAGCATTGCACCATGAACCCTAGCCCATTTGTCCCTGAACCCCAAAATCATGACTCCCGAAAAGTGAACCCGAAGCCCTGAACAACGCCGACTTTCTACGATAGAGCTCGAATAACTAGCAACCACTGTTATATTTGTAGAATAATGTGCCCCAACACCCTATTAGATTCATCCAGGCTCCTATACAAAACCCTGTGAAACACCTATTCTGAGTATGAAGGCCCCTGTAGTACATCCCCAAATATTTCAGGGCCCTGAGGTGCGACTTGTCCCGACATTTTTCCGGAAACGGCTAGGGTGCATTTCGGATTCAGAACTTCAGGATTTTGGTTGAAAGGGGTTGGGGTTTGGTGTCAAGGGTTCAGGGTGTGATTATCAGATATACGCTCAAGGTCTATGTTGAAGGGTTTGCTTTGCAAGGGCAGCCTGGAAGAGCGCTGGTTTCGTTAGGGTTTCCGTCTGGTGTTGGGTGGTGTACGGTTTCAACGTCTCCGGAGACAAGGCCTCACCTCAAGGAAAGGATGCAGGGTTGCCCGAACTAGAAACTCAGCCAGACCGAATCAGAATTTCAGGTGAATCTGAAGCTGATTGAGCTTGAATCACCGCAGATATTAGCGTAGCACTACGGTCTCCGCCTTCTCCCGAACGGGAGGGCAGTGGGATGCATTCCAGAATCTGTGTTAGGACACAGCCTTCTTAAAGAAGCTGTGAGTGACATTTTCGACATCGATGCTGTTCCGGTACCTTGACTCTGCCAGCACTCAAGCCCGGGTTGTTCCTGGCGTGTGCTACGTACATCCTGAGCTGCAAGCCCCGACATCAAGCATGATGGTGCTAGGTTTATGACGATGCGTAGTGGAAGCAGCAGGAGGAGCAGCAGTAGCTGCAGCCACTCGCTGTCGCCGTAGCCGTAACAGTAGCACTAGCAGTAGTAGAGGCAGTGCAGCAAGCAGCATGCAGCAAGCAGTAGCAGTAGCAGTAGCAATAGCAGTACGTGGCAGTGTTCGCATTGGCGCTGCGGTGGTGGTGGTGGTGGTGGTGGTGGTAGTAGTAGTAGTAGCAGTAGTAGCAACCGTAGCAGCAGTAGCAGTAGCAGTAGCAGTAGCAGTAGCAGTAGCAGTAGCAGTAGCAGTAGCAGTAGCAGTAGCAGCAGCAGGAGCAGGAGGAGGAGTCCGAGCAGGAGCAGGAGTAGCAGTAATTCATCGTCGTCCACGTTGTCGTCGTAGTCATGGTGGTGGTGGTGGTGGTGGTGGTGGTGGTAGTGGTGGTGGTGGTCGTGGTAGGAGGATATGGCGGGGCAACGGTAGTCGTCGTCAGAACGTGATTGCCAGCATGAGTGCTAGCATTGTTGCCGGTACTCATAGTGCCGAGCAACGGCTGGCTTCCATGAGACCGCGAGCTGGAATCCCAGCTGCGATGCACCCCAATTGGATTCTGCACTTTTACACGGCGTGAGAAAACATCCAGCTATCAGTGACGTTGCCGCTGAAATCCCGAGACCTACCTCCTCTTTGTATGCCCAGACGATGCGTTGCCCTCAACCTGGAACTCGACGTGCGCCGGAAAGCCATCGTTGTGGCTTAGACGGTTCCGGGGCTCTGACGTGCAGGAAGGATGGGAGCGAATAAGGTGGCCAGCGACCGAGGAACTCCTAAGGGGCAGGGATTTAGTTGGGAGTGTATGGTTTTGGGTTTAGGGTTTCGGCGTTTCGGGTCGAGGGTCTAGTCCAGTAGGGTTTTAGGCGGTTCAGAAGGTTTTTGAGGTCTTGGGGAGTTTAGGGTTCAGGGTTGGGATGTCTTGCGACAGTGGGTTGTAGTATCGTAGGGTTTAAGGTCCTGGGGAAATCCGGTAGTTCAATCATCAAGCCGGAGCGGAGGATTTGACTCAGGTTCCTTCCAGTGGGGTTTTGCTAATTCTTGTGCGAGAGGGGACCTGAACCCTAAACCTGAAGCAAGACCCTCTATCCCCCACCGCCATATTGACGTGCCCAGAACGAGAAATCTTTGAGGATTGTAAGCTATCTATGCATCAGTGAAAAGGTTGCTTATGGCTGTGGGAATGCCAGAAATACAATTCAAGGACAACTTGAGAAACCGGAAGCTCGCAAAAAACTTGAACTTGCGAAACTCTCCGACATTGCAGCCCTGCATCACGATCGTGCAGATGTGTGCTTCAGCAGCTGAGGACAATGATGGTGCAGAAGATGACCTGGATGAAGAACGTGATGATAATTGAAGAAGATGGTGATAATGATGGTGCTGGTGCTGGTGCTGGTGCCGGTAGGACTGGTAGGGATGGTCATGCAAATATTGTAACGTCCATGCATGCTTGCGATCACCATAGTCATGGTTGCAGCCTTTTTCACTGTTGTCATCATCCTCGTCTTCATCCCCAGCCTTGTCGTGACGTGTTGTTCGTCATGGTTGTCCCGGTGGCCGCGGTAGTCGTTCTCCTCCTCGTCCTCCTCGAGTACCGGTCTTTATACTTGCTCTCTCGAACTACGCAATATAGGGGCCTGAATAATTGTCAATATTATGGTTAGGGTTCCTTATTATAATTATAGTATACCCCACCGATCCCAGGTCCAGAAGTCCAAGGAGGCCAAGATGAAGGCCGCCATGGCCGGTGGTAAGTCCCGCAAGAAGACGCTCGGCAGCCTTTTCGTCCCTGGAGCTCTGGAAGAACCCGACACCGAAAGTGGAGAGAAGTAATGATATCTCCCTGCGGTATAGTATCTTCTTGCGCAGAAGGTAGAAACCCGGTTCCCACTTCTATATCTTCGCGTTTTGCGAATTATGCTCCACCGTTCAAGACCTTCCCCAAAGCCGCTAGATGCAAAGTCCGAAGCCCTTAAGCCGCTGAGGTCTATTGCAGTGTGATGTATTTCAGAGCCTGCAGTCTTACGCTGCAAGAAAGAAATCACTAGAGTCTTCGAGTTACCGGAGTAGCTCGCTTGTCGGACCTGCATATACCTGCTGCATGCAACCACGAAATGCCAAAACAGAGACTTAGTTAATACCTGGCCCTCTCTTCGTTTGTTTTCCGCAGCCTGCATCATGAGAGATCGGTGCTGATGAAAGGGAAACTATAGAGTTCTGTTCAGACTATGAGCGAAGCTCCCCGATCATCACTACATACGGCTGAAACCTACGTGCACCAGAAGCTCTCAGTCCACATAGAAGGGGCGCTGAGAGAAGCCCCCGAAAACCACAGCCCGACAGGACTAATGCCCTAAAGACCTAAAGCCTTCCGAGGAAGTGGGCCAAGGGCAAGGCCAAGTTTGCCATGCGGTCTTCACACCCTAACCCCTAAACCCTCAACCCTAGATTGTTTTGCCGGGTTTGCGGATTTGTCGGCCGTGTACGTGTAGACCGAGAGGGGCATGGTGCAGGGTTGGCCTGGACGCCGAAAGATAGTGGTCTGACCGATTAGAGATTCTAGTCAGCACAGTGCTCCTGAACATATTTGGGGTCGGATTTCTTTACATGATGAATCCTACCAAAAGCAGCTTCCCGACTGTTATTGTTCAGCAGGTCAAGGAGAAGCTTGCCAACCTGGTCATGTTCGACAAGGTCCGATGGATTTTGGGGTCAGGGTCTCGGGCTTGGGGCTTTAGGCTTTTAGGTTTCGGGCTCAGGGTTGCGGGGTCCAGACTTTCAGGTCTGGCGTTCGAGGCTTGTCCGAGGGATTCCCCTACGAGTTGAACTATCATGGGGCTTCTGACTATGATTCAAGGAATGCTCCTGAATAAAGGGGCTTTTCGAGTCTTTGGGAAAGGGACCCCCCGGGACGTTTCAAGCTCCTTCTTGGGGACCACCCCGCGGCTCTGCCCTTTCAGTTGCCCTCATTGCAGGAAAGTCCTAAACCCTAGTGAGGGCTACGAAGATCTGGGTATCATGTTTTGGAACCAGAAACCTCAAACCGACTAGATACAGGACAGTACAGGACTTAACACAGCAGGACCTGTTAAGTTCGAAAACTCTCCCTCGCGCAGGCCACCTACGACAAGATGCTGAAGGAGATCCCCAAGGTGGGACCTCCGGCAAGCTTTCTTAGGTGGCCGGAATCTGAACTCTCTGGTCGAATTCAAAGGTTTCCTTCGATTCAGGATGTTTAGTTCAGGTCTGAACTGCAAGCAAGACCCAGACCGCGTGCACCGGCGAACTCTGGAGTCTTCGACAGCTCGAATAAGAGTAGCGAGAGCCACCGTAAGTGAGAGTTTACCATCGGCATCGTCGTGGCACTCATCCCCGCAAACCTAAACCCCTAAACCGTGAACCATCAATCTCATGCTCTGCCTGCGGAGGCGAAGTTGATCACACCCTCTGTGGTCTCCGAGCGTCTGAAGGTGAGCAGTTGGAGTTTCAGGAAGTGGCAAGCGAGTTTTGGGGTTGAGGATTCGAAGCATGACAGGGGTGAGGGGTGAGGGCTTGAGTTGTATTTCCTCTCTTCGAAGTGTGTCTGCATGCGTGCAGGGTGCAGATGGCTCGCGTTCCAAACCCTCCAGAACCGAAGCCCCGAACCCCAAACCCCAAGCACCCTAAGCCGTATGCAGACTCATGTAATACCCTTCGGCTGCAGCCACTACATCCGAAACCCAAGGGGGCCTATCGCAACCTTAGATCTTTCACGTGGTAGCTCTTCTTGAAGCCGCAAGTTCGAGCTTGCTGCTCCCTACTGTTTGAAGGTGAACGGCTCCGTGGCCCGTGTGGCAATTCGACACCTGGAGGACTGGGTTCAGACTCTCGAGTTGAGCTTCTGTGTGTGTGTGTGTGTGTACAGTGTATAGCTGTGCTTTTGCAAAACCGCCAAAGTTTACAATGCGGTACCACGTGACAGTTTCGCCAAGCCCCAGTCGTTGCATCCCGGCCAGCGGCAGCTCCAACTTCCGATTCTCGCCATTCAGTCGGATACGCAAGCGCAAGGTCGTGTCCATATGGAGCCCTGATTTGGGAAACCTCGTGCGATACATTTGCTTACCTTTGGTTAGTAGGGAATGGAGGAATGGGGTACAATTATATCTACTATTACTACCATTCTTCCATTCCCTACTAACCAAAGGTAAGTTTGGAGAAACCCTAAACCCTAAACCCTAAACCCTAAACCGTAAACCCTAAACCCTAAACCCTAAACCCTAAACCCTAAGTTGTTCGCATTGGCCTGTCGACCCGGGAGCCCGAAAAAAGAAACTCTTTGGAGCCCCTTGCAAAGCCCTTGTTTAGGGTTTAGGGTTTAGGGTTTAGGGCCCTGTAGAACCCCTACAGAGCCTTGTAGAACCCTTACGAAGCTCGAGGGAACCCTACCATCCAAGGGTAAAAGGAGGGACCCTTGATAAGGACCCTAGGTATATACCCTTAATAAGCTATGATATACCCATCATGTAGCCCACTATAGGGTAGGGGTCCCCATTCAGGGTCCCTCCTTTTCCTTTTTGATACAAAACAGGAGAAGAACATGATCATGCACGTGGGCGAGAAGCTTCCCGGCTGCATGCAGCAGTGAACTCCCTTCTTCTGCTTGCGCGCAGCCCTAAAGCTAGGACCGCTCAACCCTAGAGGCCCTAAACCCCAGTAGCTCTAACCCTTAAGCCCTAAACCAAGGTGGTCGTTTGTTTGTACTGCATGGATTCACTTCCGGAGCAGTAGCAATAACAGCAGGAGCAGGAGCAGGAGCAGGAGCAGGAGCAGGAGTTTCAGCAGTTTCAGCAGCAGCAGCAGGAGCATCAGCACAAGGGACAGTCGCAATAGTACTGATATCGGTTAGTGCTACTGGTAATATTTGTTGCAGGTGTAGCTGTCGTCTTCTGCGGGAGCAGATTTCCAGCTGTGCCTTCTGCTTCTGAGCTCAGCTTCTCGGCATATGCATGCGTCCCCAGGTCCAGCAAGCAGATGATCTACACGCGCAAGATCGGAGGTGGCGAGGAGCCTGGTGCGTCTAGACGTTACGCCTAGGCGAGCCGCCAAACGTCCAGAAATCGAAGCAACCTTGGCTCCCTTGTCCGAAGTCCGAGACCACCTACAGTGCGTTTGGTTCAATCCCCAATGACGTGAAGCCTCTTCATCCCCAAACCATGAACTACTATAGGGGCCGCGATATTTACCTATACTGTTTTGGGGGTTCCTTATTATGCTTATTGTATAATGGTTATGGTTAGGGTTCCTTATTATAATTATTTCCCCCAAACCCTATTCTAATTATTAAGGGCCCCTATATTACCCTGCACCGCCTGAAACAGCAGGGCTTCATTTCCAGCGCCGTATACGTTTTATATCATTCAGAAGCTTTATTTGTCGGAAGTCCCTCATGCCTAGAAACTCTCTGACCTTTGGGTGACAACCGCTCAACCCTTAAACCCAAAACAGTGCACCCTAAACTGAAAACCCTCGGATATCTGAAGTCTGAAGCCTTTCACCTTTATCAGCAACTTCGCCAAAGCTTGCTTTTCAGGGTTTCGGGGCTACCGTTTAGTAAGTTTACATGGTGTGAGGTTCAGGGTTTAGGATCTATTGTTTAGAGTACATGTTTCAAACTTGTTAGCTTTGAGCGCGAACCGAAGCCTGAGATTCATGCACTTCATGCACCTGCACCCTCAAGCAGATCCTTCCCGGAACATCTGGTGTTGAGGATTTACAAGTTCATGTAGCAACCACAGGAAGTGAAGCTGCGAAACTGTATAATTATAAGCGCTGAGCCCCTTAACCCCAAAAGCCTAAACCCTAAACCCTAAACCCTCCCTAAACCTGAAACCCTAAACCCTAAACCCTAAACCGTAACCCCAAAAGCCTAGATCCTAAAGAACGCAGGACTGAGACTGACGATCATCACTCGACAGGGAAGAGTTGGAGTCAAAAACGAGCCGCAGATTTCAGGGCGCAGGATTTTCAGATTTTTAGTGTTTAATGGTTTAGAGTTTAGGGTTTAGGCTTCAGGAAAGGTTTATGCAGGCTAAGGGCTCGGGAACACTAGTTGCCAGATGGGCATGGTCTTCAGGGGTTCCCATTGCAGGAGGAGGGAAAACATTTGAGGGCCCGCTGTGGCAAGGGGGTCCTGTGCTTTAGACTCGGATGTCGAGTTCCGCCCTACCTTAACTTACCTTAACCCCACGTAACCTACCTTTTTAAGGGTTTAGGGTTTAGGGTTTAGGGTTTGGGGTTTAGGACTTATATAAAGAAATCATATTAGGGAACCCTAAAAGGGTAGGTTCCTCAGGGTCCAGGATAAGCCCTAAACCCTCGACCGAAGGAAGCCCCAGACCGAAACTCAAAACCCGAAGCCTTGAGCCCAAACGCCGAAACAAGGCCCTCAAACCCTCGACCTCGGGCCAGGATGCCTTGGCTGTACGGATGTAGCTTCCCGAAAGTACGGTTTAACTTAGTTGCTCTTTTGGAAGAGGTCTTTGGGGTTTGAGCATGGTAGATTGAACATTGGACGATTTACCCTAAAGCCTAAACTCTAAACCTTAAGACCCTAAGCCCCAAACTCAAGACCTTTGAGCCCCAAGCTCGGAAGCCGAAAAAAGCCCTGAACGCTTGGACGTCGGCTTCCTGGAGAAAGGCACCTCTAAACCCAAAGCCCTACCATAGGGGCCTAAATAACTGGCACTATAGCATCATGGGCCTCAAAACCCTATTCTCATGATTAAGCCCCCTATTTAATAGTACCCTTATAGATCCATTATAGATTTTACCTCTTATAGCTCCCTTGCAAGGAGCCCTATTCTAATTATGAAGGCCCCTATATTACAAACCCTCAAGGGATCGACTTCTGCCGCCGGCGCTCGGGGCTCAAAGCCACCATTCTGGCTCAGCGGTTTTGGGGCTCTGACCCTCAGGAATCATGGGGGCGAACAAAGTAGCCAGCCACTCAGAGAGCCTAGCGCTCCTTCGGATTTAATCTGATCGTTTAAGGATGTGCTTCTTCATGCTCTGCGCTCCGAAAAAAGGGATTCGCAAGTTTGGCCGAGCATCTTCCTGGACTGATGAAACCTCAGCCCTGAAATGGCAGTCATCAACAACCGCGAGCCTTTCAAGCGACCCCAAACCTTTTGCCTCCTTCGTGACCTCAAACCCCAAACCCTAAGCCCCAAACGCGCTTCTTTGAGAAGAGCCGCCTATACCGGAAAAGTTTTTGCTGCTTTTAGCGCCGTCAGGTCCAGAAGTCCAAGGAGGCCAAGATGAAGGCCGCCATGGCCGGCGGTAAGTCCCGCAAGAAGATGCTCGGCACGGCCTTGGAACCCCCAAATCCCCCAAAACCCGAAACCCTGAAGAGCACAGGGCGTCCCAAGTAATACGGTATGCACCTGCACGAAGTTAAACCGACAGCATTGAATCCTAGACTCCCTGAACCCCCAAACCATCCTGGCCCTACACGCCCTGCACCCTACCCCTAACCCCGAAATCCGAAACCCTGCTGCACGAAGTGCAGCTCTGAACCCTTCACCCTTCCACTCAGGAAGTGGGCCAAGGGCAAGGCCGGGGGGGTGCTCTACTTACCATTGGTTACTTGTAGTCGGGAATAGAGGAATGGGGTACAGTTATAGCTACTATTACTATCATTCTTCCATTCCCTCCTAACCAAAGGTAAGTCTATGATGAAGCCCAAACCCTAAACCCGGCTCTTGAAGACCTTCGGGCTTTCGTAGAAAAGGATTCTTGTCTTTGTATGCTGGATTCCATTGTCGAGTCTCTAAACAGCAGCTTGCAGGATTCTGTACCCCAAACCCTACACCCAAACCCTAAACCCCTAAACCCTAAACCCCTAAACCCTAAAACCCTAAACCCCAAACTCTAAATCTTAAACCCTAAGCCGCAGAGAGTATTGATGGCACTATCGAAGCCCCGAAGCCGTCAGGCTACGTTTTTCCTGCCGGGGTTCGTGATCGCAGGGTCTATGATCCTCTGACGCTAATATAGGTGCCTTATTTTCATCATAGAATCATATACCCCGATGCCCTATTTCAGGTCTTAAGGCCCTTATATCGCATAAACGGTAAATTCAATCCTACACCCTAAGCCCTCAATAACGTTCGAAGCACACCTCCGAGCCCAACGCTGCAGCGATAGACCTGATCCCCTCACCGCCTCCCGCCAAGGAACTAAATGTATACCATTATTATTGCTATGATGGTTATCATCATTATTACAATATGCATAATCACACCTGCAACCATGTCATTCACACATTATCCGCCAAGCCTCAGCCCGTTTCGGAAGTGCTGCAGCACGCCACACTGGAACACTTGCCTCTCAACCTTAACCCCTCTGATCAGCCTTAGATACCAAGCCCTGAAACCCAACCTTAGTCCTAAGCCCTAAGTTTGAAGAACAAGATCTTAAACCTGAACCCCTAGACCCGTATATGACGCTAACTCTGCTATCACTATCTCTTCAGGGAGGCTGCAAAGTCGCTACTACGGTTGATGAAGTAAATTCTGCATGACTCATAATAAGGAATATGCCATAATTCCCATAGTTTAGGATCCTTAAGGTCATGCAGGCTTTATATCACCAACAGTAGTAGGACCTAGGATGCTCGGCAGGTCAAGGAGAAGCTCGCGAACCTGGTCATGTTCGACAAGGTGCGGGTGGAATCTTTGGGTCGTTTATCAAGGGTCAAAGGGTCTACCATGGGGGATTAGGGTTTCCGGTTTCGGTTAGGGTTTACTTTCGGGTTTCGGTTTAGGCTTTGAGGTTTAAGGGTTCCGACGTTAGGATGTCCTGTCGTGGTTGTTTGCCAGGTTCCTGGAGGACGGTTTGGAATCTGCAATATGAATAGAAACCTGGATCATCACTACCTCAGGCTTCCTCAGCATTATGTCTCTATCATGACATACGCCAAAACCCTACTCTAAGTATTTCCCCCCTGATTTAAATAGGTACCGCAGACACTGACTTGTGATGCCATGGCCGTGTCGTCTCAAAGCGGTGCTGTCACCACCCATGACACCCCATGAGAAGTCGGCCACTGTGCCCCGAATTGGGTATCTGCTCACGGCCCTGTCCCAGCAACGTCCGTGGGGGGAGATCTGGGGCTTTCTCGGAGCACCTGGGTTCTTGTTAAGGAACTTAATTTAAGTTACCATCATAGGGATCTATCGTAAATAATAGGGTTTCCTTATTATGGTAACTTAAATTAAGTTCCTTAACAAGAACCCAGGCAAGCTCTTGTCATTGGCTTGTTGGTGTAGTCTAAACGGTCCGGAACACCGAGTTTGTTAGACGCTTTCAGCCACTCCGATGTGGGTGGTTGTCAAAATTCTGGTCCCCTTTTTGGGTCCTTACTATAGTACGGCACCTAATATTTAGGGTACCCAAAAAAGGGACCTTAATTTTGACCAGCCACTCCCATGTGCGCAGGCCACCTACGACAAGATGCTCAAGGAGATTCCCAAGGTGGGGTAGGGTTTAGGGTTTAGGGCTTAGGGACCAATGCTTGGGTTCAGGGTTTGGAGTTTAGAGCTTAGGGTCTAGGGTTCAGGAGATTCCCAAGGTGGACACCCAGCCCGGAGGGCTGAGAGCACTGCAGCCAAAACTGGAGATCTTGAATCCGAAGCCCTGAGATCTCGACCTTCAGAAGCCTGCATCAGAGTTTAGGGTTTAGGGGTTTAGGGTTTAGGGTAGTGCCTTTGAACTGCGGCCTCATCCTAAACCCAAAGGCGTGCCAGTTATCCGAAGCCGCAAAGCCCGAACTCGCGAATTCGTGTGTTGGCGGTTCTACCGTGCAGGGTCGCTGTTGCTAAAGGGGTCCTCTAACTTGTCTATAAGGTTGCTTTCAGTGGTTCTTTGGCGGGTTTGGGAAGGTTGTTCTGCAAAGGGTTTTCTCAGGGTTTTCTCAAAGGTCCCGGTACGGGCTGAGAGTTGGAGACTTTTGGTTTGGAGTTGAAGGTTTGGGGTGAAGCGTTACTTTCGGGTTTTTGGCTTGGCGCGCAAGGTGACAGCAATAAGACCACCTTAACCCAAATCTTACCCCCCAGCCGTGAGCCCCCAAAACCCCCAAAGCCAGAAGCCCGATGCTAACAGAGGGGCCTGAGTAATTAGTAATACTATTTTGGGGGTCCATTATCATAGTTATAGTACCATATACCCCAAAACCCTATTCTAATTTGTCGGCAGCAACGGTCTGTCCAAGAAGGTGAACTGCATCTCTCACGTTCCTCTTGAGAAATGGAAATCCATGTCTTCAGTTGAAATCAGGAATGCCCTTCCGCCCAAGCCTGGGCCATTGAAAAGATTCAGAGCTGCGAAGAAGAGATTGACCAGATTTAAAGACACTCTTGAAAGGTTCAAGCAAAATCAGCTCCTTGAAAATGATTTTCGCACACACATCATTGAGCCAACATGGGCTTCAACGGAAGCTTGTGCCAGTTGCGGCAAGCTACTCAACTTCTCAGTGGAGCCGCGAAATCTCACGCGCCGTTGTCCCCGTTCACGCGACTTCTGTGTACAGTTGTTAGATACCTGGTCGCTGCAGTATGACTCGATGTTAAGTGCATTGATCACATCATCGCAACGATTAGTTAGGACGACTAGCTCAAAGGCAGCTAGCTTCTTCAGTGATGCACAACGCATCTCTCGAAGTACTCGCTCAGACTACTGTCCGCATGAACCCCAAAACCCTATTCTAATTATTAAGGCCCCTATACAACCCTCATAGATAGTACCTCGTCTTTTAGATCCCTTTAAAGGAAGCCTGTTCCAATTATTAAGGCCCCATATCAGCTTCGCACGGTCTCTGCCAAGCGAAGCCTTCAACGCTCCATCCCGAGAGCCTCTGCTCGCAAGGCGAAGTTGATCACCCCCTCCGTGGTCTCCGAGCGACTGAAGGCGAGCTTTGAGTTGCTTGTATTTTGTTGCTCAGCTGTGGCGGAGAGAGATAAAGATAGAGATAGAGATAGAGAAAGAGAGAGAGAGAGAGAGAGAGAGAGAGAGAGAGAGAGAGAGAGAGAATGATTTATGTAGTTGACCTCTGTTCAAATCGGTAGGAGAGGGTTTTGACCTAGACCCCGATGTGGAACTGCAAAAGAAACGAAGCAATTCAAGGAAATGCTTCTTTCAGGTCCTGCACCCGGAAACTGCAAGACAGTTTGAGTCACTGGGCCAAACACAGTGCACAGTGGCCTGAACCCTAGACGTTCAAACCCAGACCTAAGCAACCCTCAGCGCTTCTTTTTATCTTCGGGTTCTTGGTTCGCTTGCTGCCCCAAACTCTTGAAACCCCTACACCCCAGAGCCCCCCCTGTCCCGAAACCCTACGCCCACCTTCGGTTTCAGGTGAACGGCTCCGTGGCTCGCGTGGCCATCCGGCACCTTGAGGACCTCATTTCAGGAGTTTGAAGGCTTTAAGGGTTCATGGTTTGGGCCTGTAGGGTTTAGGGTTTAGGTTTTAGGACCTCATTTCAGGAGTTCAAAGGCTTTAAGGGTTCATGGTTTGGGCCTTTAGGGTTTAGGGTTTAGGGTTTAGTTTCAGGAGTTCAAAGGCTAGAAGGCTCTAAGGGTCTATGGTTTAGGGCTTTAAGTTAGAGGGGCCTTAATACATACCTCGACTTTTTTTGGGGGTTCCTTATTCCCACTATGATTTGCTTCTGCACTTCAGGGTTCAGAGATGTAGGGCTTCTGGGATCCCTAAACGAAAATATCTTCCGCACTGGTTTCGGCACCGTTCTCGGCCTTTTCTCCACGGAGAAGGGGGACTCATTCTCGGTTGAGGGTTTTTGGTGTCGTTTTCAGGGTTTAGGGGGGTTTGGGAGTTTAGGGTTTCGGGGTCGATGCACGGCCACTCAACTAACCGGAAAGATTGCCTTGCAGTGCAAGGGCGTTCATGCGAGACCCCGCAGCACAAGGTGCAAGATATCCAGCTTGCATCGACTGACAAGCAAAGCCGAGAAGGGAGCACCGAGGGTACAGTCATTCTGTGACCATTTCCAGGTCAGAGCATAAATGAATGTGTTTTTTAGAAGCTCGTTTCCGACGTCCGTTGCTGTGCATCCACCGTCCTTTTCCGTAATCTAGGCTCTCCAGATCTTGGGCCTTCTGACCCTAAGTATCCTTAAACCCACAGCCCTCAACCCTAAACCCTAAAGCCTAAGACCTCTTTTGGGTACATCAGAGGATGCAGACCAGGAATTGGGAGCTCTTGGTCTCCCTGTAACGCCTGCCAGACCGTCTGTCTTTCATGCGCATTTGGGTCCATTGGACTTGGGGAGTAGTTTAGCATCGCGTAGAGTGTTCAGGGGCTAAGTAGGCTTCGAGTCCCTATAAAGGGATCTGCGAGGGTCACTAAAGGGTTTCTACAATGCAGTTGGGGGAGGAACTGCTGCGTTGCTATGTGTGTCGGTACATGGGTGAGCCAGTCCGTGTTGGGTGGTGATGTGCTATTAGGGTAAGAGCTTCGGGAATGTTGTATAATGCAACTCAACTTTGCTGCTTTTCGGTGCCTGGCCCTGCTCCAAGAGACCTGCAGGAGAAGAACATGATCATGCACGTGGGCGAGAAGTGCCACAGCTGCACAGAGCAGTGGTAAGAAACCCTGCGTTCTACATTCAGTGACATGGGTTGACATGAGTTCATGCCTTGACAGTGACAAAGAGTGCTCCCTAAATCCTAAATCCCTAAGCCTCATCCCTGAATCTCTAAAATCCTAAAGCGCCAAACCCTAAGCCCGATCCCTAAACCCGCAAACCCCTAATGCCCTGAACCCTAAACAGACAGAGAGATGTCGCTGTTACAGGCACTGCTAACCTGGGACCACTGTCGTATTTTCTTCTTCTTCTCCAGTGTTTTGCTACGGGCTTTACTGTTACATGCAAACACGCTGACACTGCTGCTTCTGATGCCACTGCTCGTTCTGCTACTGCAAATGCTCCTGCCATTGCAGTGGCGATGGCGGTCGGCTGTTGGTGTTGATGATGGTGTTGGTGGTGGCGGCTGTGGAAAACTTCGTCCGTGTATTTAGTGTGTCTACGAAGCACCTCTTTGGATTTCCGACAAACTTCCCGACTGCACTTCCGAGCTCACCCTTCCCCCAAACCCCAAACTCCCAGCCCTAAGATTTAGGCCCCGAAGCCCCAAATCTACCGTGTGGGGCAGGTCCAGCAAGCAGATGATCTACACGCGCAAGATCGGCGGTGGCGAGGAGCCTGCTGTATGAATGATCGAAGCTGCTCTTTGTTTTGCTTGCAGACGAAGCTGAGGAGGGTGCAGGGTTCGGATCCTGTATTAAACCCACAGTTGATCGCAACCAATACAAAGCCCACCCGATCATCAGGTCGGGAACCACGACACTGAGCCCCAGTTCCTCGCATCCAACGGAAGGTCCCAACACCTAGCGGCTTTGTCCTCGAACTGGACAAGGCATGCAACATCACCACCCTGCCCTCAACGTCCAAACCTTGCATCCATGATCATCCTTCGATCACGTGTTACACACCCACAAACCGTTGCAACGGCTAAGACGTGCATTCAAGACTCAAGACATCAGAAGCGAGCCTTCCACTGTCACAAGCCGCAAGAATTACGAAAGCCCCAGTTACGCGGAAGAGCCACAACCGAAGCTGCGCGAGCCTTACTCCTTCAATCCCACAAAATCCTAAACGCAAAACACACCGACTAATCACCAGATCCTATTGCAACCCTTATAGAGCCTGGTATTGAGCCCCACATCGATCCCCTCTAGAGTTTCTTCTTATAGGGGCTTAAATAATTACCTATAATCTTTTGACGGTCAAGTATATAGTATAACGGGCCCGAAGCCCTATTAAAGGCCCCTATAGTATCGAGCCCTTGTAGGCCCTTAAAAGGAGCTCCCCCCCGCATAAGACTCCGGATACCCCTGAAGCCTGAGCAGGACTGAAGCTGACTGCAGATCTGGGGGCAGAGCCCGGACGTCACAAAAGATGGCAGCAGACTTCAGGGTTTAGGGTTTTGGGTTTAGGATGTAGGGTTTAGGGTTTTGGGTTTAGGATGCAGGGTTTAGGGTTTAGGGTTTTGGGTTTAGGATGTGGGGTTTAGGGTTTAGGGAGGATGAATATAGGGGGCCTAAGTAGTTACCTCTACTATTTTGGGGGTTCCTGGTTATAAGTACGGTATAGTGGGCCCCCAAACCCGATTCTAATCATAGCAGGCTTCATGACTTCATGAGATGATTGAAGGGTTAAGTTTAGGATTTGCTGTGGGGTTTAGGGGATGATAATGGGAGGGGGGCTCCACAAGGTTCCTGTAAGGGTTTGATGTGGGACATTGGGTTTCAGGGTTTAGGTTTCGGGGTCTTTGGAAAAGGTTTTAAAAGTTTTACCTTGCAGGGTTTCAGGGTATAGGGTTCAGAGTTTTAGTGGTTGGTGTTTCAGAGCATGCGGCTTGGGGTTTAGGGTTCTTGTGCTTTGCACCTAAGATTTGCAGCTTCTGCTATGTTTCGGAATGGTGAGTGCTCTCTTGGGCAGGTTTCAAGATGTACTCCATGGTCAGCCCCGAACCGCAAGCCACGAAGCATGGAACCCCTGACCCTTCGAAGATTTGAAGCTGGACCCGACAGACGGGGCGAGTTTGCAGTTGCATAAGGGAGTTTCCGAAAACAGGGGTACCTCATTTTGGGGTCCTTATAATAAGGATCCTACTATGTAGGGTACTATTTTAGGGTCCCCTATTTTCGGGAACTCCCATAAGGTTATCTACAATCTCCAATAGATTCCATAAAGGGTTTCCTATACAAGGCCCCGGGAAGCCCAACTCTATAGCCAAAACCCGAAGCCTTAAGAGTTCTAAACCCGAAGCCTTAAGAGTTTTAAACCTGTGCTTGGAGGATCATGGGACTTAGTAAATAGGGTTACTATTATGGTAACTATACTTAGAACTGCTTATAACCCCAATTAAGGTGCTTATAACTATACTTACTAAGTCCCATGATCCTCCAAGTGCCCAAACCCCCAAACTTTGCCTAAGCAGCCGTCCGTTGCCCGTGCGGCTCAAAGCCATCTTTTCTGGCTCGGCGATTCCGCGGCTCCGACCCTACGCAGCAGGGATGGGGGCGAACAAAGTGGCCGTGACCTCGGCGGGCTTGGAAGCCTAATCTGGATCCTGAATGGGTGATGACGATGACGACGATGGTGACGATGCCGAGAGAGTGATGATGACAAGGCTGCTGGTGCTGACTCGACCCTTAATAAGGACCCCTAGGTATATACCCTTAATATAGCTATTATGTATCCATTATATAGCCCATTATTTTGATGTTGCTCTTCTTGCCCTTACTTCTTGCATGCGCGCTGCCCCATCGATCGGAGGTCCAGAAGTCCAAGGAGGCCAAGATGAAGGCCGCCATGGCCGGCGGTAAGTCCCGCAAGAAGACGCTCGGCAGCTTCAGAGGCGTAAAGCAGCCTTCCCAGAGCCTCCAAAACCCCTTAATTAAGGAACATACCTTAAAATCATATTAGGGATCCTATTATAATTTAAGGTATATTCCAAAATTAAGGGGTTTTGGAGGCTCTGGTTAAGCCCTGGACCTTTCATTCTCCAAAGCTCTGCATATGTTCAAAAACCCGACCAGGGACCCTTCAACCCCTCAGCCTCAAATCAGCGACACCCTGTGTGAATTCGGCACCTGCTTCAGAACGAAAGCGGGGTCAAAAACCGAGTCTTTCCCACTCCCTGAAGCCGTGATTCCGTGGCCCGGTGTTGATGCTTAGAAGAGTTTAGAGTCTAAGGTACACAGAATTGGCCTGTGGCATTGAGGCTGTAGGGTGTAGGATCTAGGGGTCTGGGGACTTGGAAGATTCCATTGATGCTTGAGTCTGGATGGGGTATGGGCTAGGGGTCTAGGAAGTAAAGTAAAAGCCAGAAAGTTGGAATATGATTATCCTAAACCCTTTATGGTATATTACAAGGTATCCTACCCTGAAACCATATTCCAACTTTCTGGAGTTCCCTTTAAGGTATTTGGCCGGGGGTTAGGTTTTAGGATTTGGGCTGTGATGTAAGCTCGGGAGACATCTGATTGCAGCATGTCCTGGGCATTGTAGTATCCTTAAGGGAGGGGGGTCCAAGGGGGGTATATAGCCTAGTGATCCCTAATCCTCCCTAGTACTCCCTAAGGTTCCCTTACAGTCATAAGGATTCCTTATACCCTCCCCCCTTGAACCACCCTCCCTTAAGGATCCTATAAGGGCAGGACTTCGAGAAAAAGGGTAGGAAGGAGACTGACTGCCTCAGACAGGGTTCAGGGATTAGGGCCTGTTAGTGAACCCCCGAAAACCCTACGTTCCTACGGTTGATGATGTAAATCCTGCATTACCCATAATAAGGAATATACCATAATTTCCATAGTTTAGGGTCCTTAAGATAATGCAGGACTTATATCATCAACAGTAGTAGGAAATAAATGGTGGCACAAAGACGCTCTCGCTTGGACAACCCTTCAGGCTCAACCCATTGTGAGCCCGAAGAGTCCTCGGCCCATGAGATGAACCCTGAGAAGAGCTAGGAAAGCAGGAGCCCCCGAAAATAGGGGCTTCAATAATTACCTATACTATTTTGGAGGTTCCTTATTATAGTCATAGTATATTATATATATATATATATATATATATAACATACCCCCAACTCTAATTACTAAGCCACCTATATAAAGCCGTAAACCTGACTTCGGGAGCCGAGGAAGTGGGCCAAGGGCAAGGCCAGCCTTTGTTGCGTCTGTGCCAAGCACCGAAACCCCAAAGCCCGAAATCCTTAACCACGAAAAAGGCTCTTTCACTCTTAAAAGCTCTGCTAGTACCGGTGCCTATAGCATTCTTTTTGGGATCCTTATGAACACGAAGCTCAAGTCCCGCATCTTGTAACGGAAAGCCTATGGAGTTCAGCTTCAGGACCCCTGAGCCCCAATCGAACCCCGGGACCCTAAACCCCTTACGGTTCAGGGTCGAGGGTTTAGGGACCCTAAACCCTAAATCCGCAGAGCCTGGAGCCTCTGAAACGCCTCGCACCTCTAAAACCGCTTGAAGATCCGGAGCCCTAAAGCCCTTCGCCCTAAAGTTGGCACTAAGCACTTGCGGGCCTCGCCAAGTTTTGGCTTACTAAGTTTAGGGTTTGTGAGGGTACAACTCCAAGCACCCTGAACCGGTTTTACTGTTAGGGTTTGGGCTTTAAGGTAAGGTTTCAACCCTAGAATGCCCTCAACTCTGTATCCGAGTGCAGTGGACGATTCGCCAGGGTTTCTGTAAGCTCAGCCGAAAAGCATTTGGGGTTTAGGGTTTAGGGTTTCAGGGTTTAGGGTTTCAGGGTCTAGGGTTTAGAGTTTAGGGTTAACGGGTTACCCTCCATACCTCCCTGCGCAGGTCAAGGAGAAGCTCGCAAACCTGGTCATGTTCGACAAGGTCCCGAAGCTACGAAAGTTCCAAACTCCGAGCCCTTTTTTGAGCCCTTCTGGCATCCCCTTTAAGGGGACCCGGTAGAAGCTCTTTGCGGAACCGGGATTCTGTGTTTGGAGTTTCCATGTTCGCAGTCCCTAGGCCTCAAGTTCCTGGACCCCTCTCTCTTCTCACCAACCACCCAATCCTAAAACCGACATTGCACAGCTCGCATCTCTAGACCGTCGTTGAACTGCAGACCCCAGATTTGTTCTAAAAGCCTTGTGCCCTAAGTTCCTCAATTCCGCCATAAGCGCCCAAACCTTGTAAACCCTTTCTCGATGTGTCCGCTTTTTGTAGGTGTTTTTGACGAGGTTTGGGGAGGATACGCTAAACCCTAAACCCCAAAAAGCTTGAGCAGGGAGATCTCCGGGGGGCTAGGGCTTCAGCAAAGAAAAAGATCTGTGGTCTTCGTGGGTTCGGAGTTTCATGATCGAGAGCTTAAGTTTAGGGTTCTAGGGTTTAGGGTTTTAGGGGTTTTGGTTTTAGGGCTTCAGGGTTTTAGGGTGTAGGGCATTCGGGTTTTCTGACAAGGTGTCAGGATGGGCGTACGGTTTTCAGATTTTGGGAGAGGCTGTTTCGTGCTTGCAGGCCACCTACGACAAGATGCTCAAGGAGATCCCCAAGGTGGGGACGAATGCTTGGGTTCAGGGTTTTGGTGTTTAGAGTTTAGGGTCTAAACCTCTGAAAACTCACAAAGAGCCCTCAACGCCCGAAATGCTTAACATTTCATAATCCGGAAGCCCAAAAAGATTGAAGGCCTCTTTTGCTTACAATAACGCCCCGCCCGGCATCCGATCATCCACAGGACCGTTGTGCCTCAACAATCAAACTCGCGTTTTGGGGCAACTTAGTGTGAGTTTGTAGGGATTACATAGGAACCCTAAAGGAACCCTATATTTCCGCTTCTAGGAACCCTTACAGGAACCCAAAAGGAACCCCTGAAAGGAATCCTATAAACCCCCATCTAGGAAAGCTGAAGGGGCAACCATTTATTTATTTCAGAAGGTGCAAAGCTCTCCGAGAGCGTACCTCAAGCAGATGAATTCAAGAAACGCCGCGGAAAAGTACCAGCCTCCCTGAGCAGAAATCGCATCGCGTATGCATTAGGGAGGAAATCTGGCACACCGTTCAGCACTCCGATGTCAGGCCAAACCGCCGAAAGGCAGCACAAGCCCCGAAAGACCAAAGAGTGCACTCACAAAACATAGAAAAGCTTGGGTCAAGACCACCAAGACTAAGCAGGGAAGCCACAATGCGGTGAAACAGGCCGGTCACGGCAACCGAAAAAGCCCTCCACAAAGTGGCGCGTCCAGCTCACAAAACTAAATCTCGTCGCGTGCATGTTTGTGTTCAGCCTGGCCTCACGATGGTCCTCACAGAGGCATCATGCCACTGGTACAAAGCCCAAAGGCTTAAATGTGGCAGGCAGGGAAGACAGGTCGGCATAGGATTGTACATTCCTATATACACAAGTTGCCAAAGAAAACGCAACTACAGACTTTCTGCTCAAGCATATTCCTCACGGAGTCGGATGAGGCGAACTACGAGCAATACTCCACGCAGCAGAGATTCAAAAGTCACTGCGCCACTACACTACCCTGAGCCTATGCCTCCCGGGATTGGAAGAGGCAAACTGCAGGGTAAATCCCACACAGTCAAAGCACTGTGCCCAATATACTCTAGGAGCTCACTCACGCAGCTAAGGTGGTTGTTTCATTCACACGCCTCACCCGAAGCGTACGTGCCATGTACCACTTCTTGTGGAGATGCAGCGTTTCTCAGTCCGCATCTCCACTCAATAAGCGCAGCCGATTCAACTATCACTACAAACAAGCCCAAGCTTCCTCTGCATCCACGGCCAGACATCAACCTCTGACTCTGCAAGTTGTTAGGTAGTTGGCTGCCCTCCAGGCTCCGGTGGAACGCATCCCCAAATGTCAACCTGCCCAGGCTGCTGGATTGTTGGGTCCCCCCCCGGCTCTGGTTGAGCTCACCGCCAGACATCGAGCTCTGCAAGCTGCTGAGTAGTTGGCTTCTGTCCAGGCTCAGGTTGAACGCATAACCAAGCGTCGAACTCCGCAGGCTGCTGGGTAGTTGACTGCCCTCTAGGCTCCTGTTAAGCGCATTGGATGCGCCCTTTGCGCGGCAGCTGCCAGTCCCCAACATAGCGAAGCCAGCAGGTTGGAACGTCATTGCGACGTACATGGCGAACCCCGCCCCGAAGGGCAGCTACAGGGTTCTGGGGCGCTACGAGCTTCTCCCGCTAGTGGGAGCGATTCGGGCCCTGGGCAACCATTACCCTTTATTCGGACCTCTATATTCCCTTTCAGGGGAACCAGAGGAGCCCCTGAAAATCCGAAGCCTGGCAGTTCGCCTTCCCCGACTGCGCAGGTTGAAGACTTCCGGACTCCATCGCTTTATAAGGGGTTTAAAGGCGCTTGTAAGTTTATTCTGTGGGTCGTAGATGACTTGTTGCGGGGTTTTGTAACGTTTGAGGCCATTTGTCAATGCTTATGGCTTTATGAAGGTTATTTTGGTTTCTTTCCTATAAACCCTGTGAAACTTTACAACAACCCTATACGAACCCTCCTGCATCCTTAAGCACCTCTAGAACCTAGAAAACCCGTTGCAGCTGAAACTCGATCTGCAAGGCGAAGTTGATCACCCCCTCCGTGGTCTCCGAGCGACTGAAGGCGAGCTGACTTTTGGGGCTTCGACGGGTTTGGGATCTGCGCCATCTTTTGATCTTTATCTGTGGGGATTGCGATTTAGGGGATTAGGGTTATTGAAGTTATTGGTTTAGATTTAGGATTCAGGATTTGGAAATTTCGGGTTTTGCTGCAGATTCCGGGTGCGTGCCACGATAGGTTATTGAAGCCTAAACGCAGCTTGGGAGGACCCTTGGCCACAAAACTTCATGTGCAAGAAAAGAAGGGCCAAGCACAAGCTCCGAGTCCATAATCGAGGAGCGAAGGTTGGGGGTCTGGTGTATATATAGTCGGTATAGTTGAGTACTTAAAGGATGAGGGCTTACATGTCAGTCACAAGCAGTATTCTTCTCTGCTTTTGTTGCATCGATGTGCCATCACAACAGGATTCGTCTTATCCGAAACGGTGACTGAGCCCTAGTACGCCGAACCCCATAGCCTTAAAGCTCATCGTCCAGAATCTGATTGGACTTGGTCGTAAGGGCTGCGGCGTGAACCCGAGCTCTCAAACAAAAGCTGAGCCCACTTTAAGATTCTTCGCTTTGGCTGTGCCTCCCTCCTCCGTGTGAGGTGAACGGCTCTGTGGCTCGCGTGGCCATCCGCCACCTGGAGGAGCCTTGTACAAGAGGGCCTTTATTATCAGAACAGGGTTTTGGGGTCTGTTATACTGTAGTTAAACCCTATCCTAATTCTGGAAAGGAACCCCGAAAGCCCTATCCTAATTATAAAAAGGAATCCCCAAAACCCTATCCCAATTCTGAGGGCCCCTGCAGTTTTTTTCGCCTTCTTGAACCCATCCTAAAGCCCTAAACCCCTGAAACTCCAAGGCCCAAGGAGTCCCTAGTCCCAAACCCCAGACCTACTTGGAGGATCTAGGGTCTTTGAGGGATCAAAAGTAGGGCTAAGGGCTCCTTTAAGGGATCTATAGGGGGGTACTATAAGTGTTTAGGGTTTTGGGTCTGGGGTCCTGGGGGGTCGAAGCTCGCCGGGGAGCGGGGGGTTTTTGGGGTTTCAAATGAGAGTTTCGAAAAATTAGGGGGTACCTTATTTTGGGAGTCCGTACAATAAGGATCCTACTATTTAGGGTACTACATTAGGGCCCCCTATATTCGGAAACCCCCAAATTCGGCTGTTCGAGCTCTCGGTCCGCTCACGTTTATGAGTTTAGGGTTCGAGCCTCCAAGCATTCGAAGCCTGCCCAAGGCCCAGCAGCCACAGGTTTTGGTAGGATTGGCGCGTAGATGATGTCTGGTTTCAGGCCCTTAAATCAAGTCTAGGCCCTGGCCAACAGTTTAGCTACTGAGGCTGATGTAGTTACAGGAGACAGGAGCACGGTGCCTCTGCGACGGGTTGCCGGGACTTGCAGGTTCAGCTTCGGGTGCGGGCCCTAAACCCTAAACCCTAAACCCCAAACCCTAAACCCTAAACCCCAAACCCTAAACCCTAAACCCTAAATCCCAAAACCCTAAACCCCAAACCCTAAACCCTAAATCCCAAACCCTAAACCCTAAACCCTAAATCCCAAACCCTAAACCCTTGTAGGGATGCTCGGGGTTTCATAGCGCAAGGGCCTGTGATGTACTGGGATTTCCTGCCAGTTCCACGTCAGGGTTTGGCGGGGGGACTTGGGGATGCTTCCCAAACCTTGTAACTCCAACAATAACAACAAGAATAATAATAGTAATAGCAATAAAGATAATAAACATAATAACAATAGTAGTAATACTAATAATACGACATAGAGAGAGCAACAGTAGAACAGCTACTAATTAGCATAAGCTGGAAAGCCATGTGGGCAGGAGAAGAACATGATCATGCACGTGGGCGAGAAGTGCTTCAGCTGCACAGAGTTGTCACCAGACTCTGGTAGCATGCCCCAATTCGCGGCAACACTTGCAGCACAGCATCTTTTCAGCAATCTTGCTATAAAGTCTTAGACCTCAGCTAGAACTCCTCGCAGACAGAGCGCACTCTGCTTGCTCCGTTTCGTTAAGCCTTGATGTTGTTGCTTACACAAGGGATCTTAACTGCTGCTTGCACTGTCGCTGCTGCCCCCACCGATACATCACTTCTACCAATGCAAGTAGTGCTTCTGCTGAGTCCTAAACCCTAAACTCCAGACTGCTGATGAGCAGGAACTGCCGTAGGAGTGCGGGAGTAAGAGTAGCAGGAGCAACAGGAGAAGGACGAGTGTGCAGTGGTAGTTGTGGTCCGCGCAGTCGCATCGGAAGTAGCGGCAGTGACAACAGCCGTAGCAGAGACAAAAGAGCCCAAAGTTTGGACCAGAGCTTGAGGCGGAAGTAGGCGTCGTTGTCAGTTGTCGTCTTACTCGCAGACGTATCGGTGGTGGTGGCCGTGGTGTCGAGAAGTGGGCTGCTTCTGGGCGGGCGAGACCCCAGGAAGGCGCACCTTGCTAGCGATCCCACGATACCCACGAATCAGGTCCAGCAAGCAGATGATCTACACGCGCAAGATCGGTGGTGGCGAGGAGCCACTCTCACCCCCATCAAGCCGAAACCCTTCAATACCTGAACACCTTACGATAATCCTGAAGATCCAGATACTTTAAGGTTTGGGGTTCAGAGGTTCATGCAGCACGCGGAGCAACCGCATTCGAAGATTGAACACCGCAAAAAGTGCTACAGTAGGACCTCCAGCTTGATTCTTTCGCATCCTCACCCTAGACTCAGATCTTGCTGCACGAAGCCCGTATTGCGTCCTCAGTCATCAAAGCCTCCCCTCGCCGCATCAGTCCCCGCAACAGCCGGACAGCAACACTTGAAGCTCACCAAACATGTCCACCGCTTCGATCCCCAGACAAATACCCTCTCAACCCTAACCCCAGACTCTAAACCCAACACCCTAAACCCTAAACCCTAAACCCTAAACCCTAAACCCAACACCCTAAACCCTAATGCCAGACTCTAGACCCTAAGCCTAAAGCACAGACGCCGCAGGACTGAGAGGGGCTTTTGGCTCTTTGCCCTCTGAAGTCAGATCAGATCCGCCCGGAGTCGACAAAAGTCTCCCAGGGTTCTCAGTCTCGGGCTTTTTCGGGTTTGGCCGGTCCTTGTATGTAGTATACCTCATGCAATATGTATATGTGTATGTTTATACATATATATATATATAGATGCAATATATTTATACTATGCTTATATAATATAGAGTATATATATATATATATATGCATATATGTATATGTATATATATATATATATATATACATATGTGTATATGTACACACACAGATGTACGTGTCATCTGTATTACATAATACATAATTTTCTGCTGTCTGATTGGTTTTCGGTGTACCTCAGCGGGGCTTTTGCGCTTGCGATCCTACTATCTATAGGGGTGTGTGCGAGGATTGGGCGTTTCGACTGCGATGAAGGTCTCAGGGTTTTAACTACGGGGTATTGGGATCTTTGGGTCCCTAACTTTTATAGTTCAGAGTTTAGGGGTTAGGTATTAGGGTTTAGGGTTTCTTTTCTGAGTCTCCCATGGTGGGGGGTAGGGTTGAGCTTGCGTGGTTTTGGGCTTTTCGCCAGCCCCGGGTCTTATCCGAATCCGAAACTAGAGTTCCAGTCATCGAAGTCTATAAACAAGCGGCCCTACACCCCAGGCCAGAAGCCCGAGATATGCACATTACACGAAAACCCGAGGAAAGCAGAGCTCTCCCTCTGCGCTGTTGTCCCGTATAGCGAAGCTTCTTTGCCTTGGCCCGTGTGCGCTGTTCGTGGCTTTGAAGTGAATTCGTTCTGCGTCCCCCGGGCCTCGTTGCCCGGTGCTCGCTGCACAGCTGAGGCGGGAAGAGGGCCTCGATTTAGAGCTTGGGGTTGAGGGGTGTGAGGCTGCGGGGCCGTTTAGGGTTCATGCTTGCAATAGAATTCAGGCTTATGCCTCTGGACGTAGTCTCCGGATGCCTGGTCTCGCGGTGAAACTGGTGCAAGGCAGAGGGGGCCGCAAAATCCCTTGTGATCATATTATCTTCGTCCTGGGCGTTGCTGATGTCCGTTTCTGCGTAATCGCTGCAAGCACGGGTCTAGGAGTCTAGGGTTTGAAGGTTCGCGGTTTGAGGCTTCAGGGTTTGGAGCTTAGGATTTCCGAGAAGCCCTCCTGCTTGGAGGTTCATGGGTAGTTATAAGATGTTATAAGTGGGGTTATAAGTAGGGTAGCCTTAGTTGTAACTCATATTATAAGAGGACCTATAACCCCACTTATAACTACCCATACACCTCCAAGTAGAAGTCTATAAAACCCTTTATAGACGCGCTTCTAGAAATGGTGATAAAACCCTCATCAATCCCCTGAGTAGTCAATCTCCCCTACCTTCAAAGGGGTCATATAGGGATCCGAATCTTAAGGCCTCCTAAGGAGGGCTTTCTTTTCTTAAAACCATAAACCCTAAACCCTAAACCCTAAGCCCCAGCCCTAAGCTCGAAGAGTCCACCCAGGCAGCATGGCCGAGGAGGAGCCCGAGGTTCCGCCCGCGCCGGCCGTCGCTCCTGGGGGCTTCCGTTTTCGTAGTACCTGGAGGTTTAAGGGTTTAGGGTTTGGGGTTTACGGTTTGGGGTTTAGGGTTATGAGGCTTCAGAGGTCAGGATCTAGGGTAGTTTTGCTTATGGGGAGTACGGCAGGACTGAGAATCGCAATCCGCCTAGAGGGTTGCATGCCTCAGCTATCATGATGCCGGGGTCATTCGGGTTTTTTGTTTCTGATTGTAACCCTAAACCCTAAACCCTAAGCAGCAAGGATGTGCAGGATTGAGGGTTTAGCGTCGCAAGTTCAGGCTGTCGCGTTCAGTGCAGGGTTGACCGGAGTTGGCCAGAGTTGCAAGATTTGTCAGTTTCCGAAAACTAGGGGTACCTCATGTTGGGGTCCTTATAGTAAGGATCCTACTATTTAGGGTGCTATATTGGGGTCCCCTGTTTTGGGAAAGTCCCATTTGTTTCAGCTGTGGACTTCAAGACTTTGGCTTCCAAGACCCTCGCCGGATTCAGGAAACATGTTCGTTTCTGGGTGAAAGCCCTGTTGTAAGTCGTTGGCAGAAGCCTTTCAGTGAATCCAGGGAGTGAAAGCTTCTTGCAGAGCGTGCTTCTGATGGAATGCTGGTAGCTTATCGTTCGGGATCATGTGGGGTCGGAAGTCCCCACCATTGTGGGGAGCGGTACCGCCTTGAAAGAAACCTAGTGTGGAAGGCTCAGATCAAGGCGCAGGTTCGTGGTTGCCAAGAGACCCATAATAACCTAGTGATGCCTTTCGAATAGCAACTCGGCAACAGCCTTGTGTCAAGCTTATCGATCTGTTGTAGCAGAAATTCGTTCGAAACCATCCTAAACCCCGAACACCCTGCCCGTACCATAGAGTTTAGATGCCAAGCACCATTCAAAATATAGCATTTGGGACTTGAAGATCCGACTACTTGTGGACTCGGGCCGTCAGGGTAGACCCCTAAACCTCAAACCCCAAACCCTAAAGCCTAAACCTTGAACGTACTGAGAAGCTTTCAGCCTGGCCGTGGGGTGGCTCCCAGTCAGCGCTACTTGAGCAGTGGCGGAAAGAAGGACCGTCCAGCCAATGTCAACCCAAGCCCTAAGCCTGACACCCAAAATCCTAAACCTTAACCTCTAGACTCTAAACTCTATTACCCTAAACCCAAAACTCTAGAAACTCAAATCCTCAAGGAATCTGGAGATGCCGGTCGAAACGCTTGAGAAACCAAAGCTATCATCCTGTCGGCGCACTTGACGCCTCAACCCCTAACCTCCCTAAACCCTATACCCCGAAACCGCTTACGCAAAGAAGCTGAGGCCCTAAACCCGAGGCCCTGGGAACCCTGAAGCTTCAGCCCTCAGCGCGTTCTGAGCCATGGGAATTCCTCGCTTCTACCGGTGGCTGTCGGATCCTATGCTTCGCTATGCTTCGCTCGGGGGCATTCGGTACAAGTAGGTCTCAGGGGCAGCCAAAACCCCAAATTAAAGAATCTGAAAGGATGAATACTAAGGATTCTGTTGATGGACGAAATCCTGCATGACCCTAAGGACTCTAAACTATGGAACCTATGGTATATTCCTTATAATGGGTAATGCAGGATTTTGTTCATCAACAGTTGTTCCATAAGGTTTACGGCATATTGCCTAATTGAGAGGCTTTGTAATCTCCGAGGGAACCCTTTGGGGTTCCGGGTCTGATGGTCTAGAGTTTAAGGTCGAACGGGTAAGGTCTGGGGGTTTAGGTTTAGGGTCTAGGGTTGAGGCTTAAGATTTAGAGTTTCGGGCTTGCAGTTCGGGTTTTCAGCTTTAGGGTGTAGGGATTTCGGGTACCCAAAAGAACAGGATTCCATGTTCAAGAACCGAATGGGCTTTGGGGTATTTCCAGAGTTGTAAGTAGGGTAGCTTTATCTATCATCATTCCAGATACAACCCAATTAAACTACGAACCGTCTTATTTTGTTTGTCCTACTTGTTGGACACAAGTTTTGGTGCAGTCACTGGGTTGCTGCATTTTCAAACTACCCTAACTCAGGGTAGCGAAAAGTCGGAACGGAGCCCTGAGCCATCAAGCCCAGCCTCATGGGCTTCCGCAAAGGAGCGCTTTCCGCTCATCAATGAGAACATCACGCAGGAGTTGCCTGGATTGAAAGGGAGTCAGCTAAACCCTAAACACCTAAACCCTAAACCCTAAACCCCTAAACCCTAAACCCTAAGCCGTTCCTAAACAGAGTCTCGGGTTTAAGGTATGTTCAGGTTTTTTAGCGGTCTCGGGTGTAATGTATGTTCAGGTGCTACTGTAGGGCTTACTTGGAGGATCGTGGGACCTAGTAACTAGGGTTACTATTAAGGTAACTATACTTATAAATACTTATAACCCCAATTAAGGTACTTATAGCCATACTTACTACTTTTTTCAGGACTTATGCAAAGAAATCACATTAGGGAATCCCAAAAAGGTAGGTTCCTTAGGGTCCAGGTAAGGATGAGGGCATGGGGTCTGTTAGGACTTCATGGTGTAGGGCTTGGGGTGAAACCCAGGATCTCCGCGATCTCTGACCCGGATTCGGGAACCTTGGGGTTTAGGGTTTAGGGGTTTAGGGGTTTGGGGTTTAGGGTTTAGGGGTTTGGGGTTTAGGGGTTTAGGGTTTAGGGTTTAGGGTTTAGAGTCTAAGTTTCAGGTTTAGTATGTGGTTATCCTGAACCGTCAGACCTCGACTCACTGCCGAAACCCTAGCCCTAACGCTGTAATGCCACAACGCCTTAAATTCATCGGCTAGCGGGCGTAGTAGTTTAAACTCCAACGCCCCAACCCTGCGACCCCTAAACCTGACTTCTATGGGTGGTTGTCGAAATTAGGGTCCCTTTTTGGGTCCCTACTATAATACGGCACCTATTATTTAGGGTACCCAACAAGGGACCATAATATTGACAACTACCCAAAAAAATGAAGCCTCGAAAACAGCTTCAGACCGCTCCCAAGCCTGCACCCGACCGAAGCCATTCGAAGCCTTGAACGCAAAGGGAAAAAGGAGGGACCCTTAATGGGGACCCCTAGCCTATAATGGGCTATATAATGGGTATATAAGCCCCGTGAAGTCCAAACCCTCCTTGAATCCTTAAAACACCCAAACCTCTAGACCCCAAACCCCTGAAACAAACCCCAAAGCACTTAAAACTGCGGAAGCCCTGACAACCTTAAAGCCCCCTTATCACCCTCCCTAAGCCCAAAGTGGTCCTTAAAGGAGATCCTTGTACAAAGACCCTTGCAGAAAGCCACTGAGGCAGATCCCAGAGTTTGACAACCTCTACTTGGACATGAACGGCATCATCCACAACTGCTCCCACAACAATACCGGAGGTAGGGTTTCGGATTCAGGGGGTTTATGGGTTTGGAGTGGTCGGGCTTAGGCTAAAGGTTTTGGTAGGTAGGGAGGTGGGGTAAAAAGTTTGGGCTGTCCTTGGTTTGT